GGAGAAGACATCTCCATTAGAACTTAACACTAACTCCCTTGCTCTTTCATCTCTTTACCATGGTGACTTGTCAGTGCATCAGAAGTCCTATCTGAGCACAGTTCTTTGGATTTTACACTGTTGTGTTTGTGCCTCCCTAATTTTTCAAGGACACTTCCAGTCATTGTAGCAGCCTGCAAGATTCAATTTGTATAACACATCTTTTAGATAAAGCTATTTTAAAAAATACATGAAAGTGATACTCTAAAGTAAAATATGCTTTCAAGCCCACTGAGGAATCTGTAAGTCAAGCTTCATGTTATTGTATTTCATTATAGAAAAAAAGAGCTTTGGCACATCACTTTACATTTATGCTAATTACCAGCACTCAGACCAAATCTATCTAAACAAAGCTTTCTTCATACTCAGATGAGCAGCACTGATTATGAAGTATAGTTAAACTGTTCCATTACAGTGCTTAAACACAAGTTGAATCACATACCAACAAACATTATCAAATCAAGTTTGACTCAAATATTTGAAATTTATCCACACAGGGCAGTCTTTTTGTGCTTCCCTACTACTTAAAGAGTCTCCTGATGAACTGAACTATTTTATGCAAATACCCAGAATGATAGTGGGAGAGACAGACTACCTAACAAAATACTTTGTAGGAAGTGGTCTGCTCTCAGTGTTCTCATTTAAAAGAAAATGTAACATAGTTTTCAAAGACTTTACTTGGCCCCTAGTGACTAGACTACATATTAAAGCTCTTGCAACTGCAGTTTTGGACAAAGAATACCAAAAAACAGACACTACACAGTAGCATCTTAACACAAAATGGAGACCTAGGTATCTATCATTATATGCAGAGAATCTTTTTCAAAATATTTTTTCAGTAGCAACTGTGACTAATGGATCACTACTCAAAACAAACAAAAAAACAACACACAAATGCAGATTCAATAAACCCACATGGTAAATAGTGGAAGAGTATAAGGAATTCAGCCATCACTGCAAAGGGCTTGAGCATACTACAAAGGTACACTTCAGACAAATACTCGAAGGCAATTTTATTGTAATGTTTTCTCTCTGCAGGCCAGAGCTTCAGAAAAGTGTCCACATATGTCCATATAGTCTACAGCAGATAAACAAGAGGTTTTGCCAAGTGTAGAAGCTTACATGGAGAATGTCCATACAAAGACAAGATTACTGTACTTGGCTGAAAAAGATTTCTGCTCTGCAGAAGCATTGTTTCTTCCTAATGAGCCTGACAGAAGCCTGTCTTTCATATGCACCCAATGAAAAGGCAAATCCTGATAGTCAAGTATGCCACATCACACAAAAGCAAATGTCATGCAGTCTGTAAGAAACAATCCGTCCTTTTTATTCCTATTGTAATTGGGTGTGGGTAGGGGGGTGGGGTGTGTGTCTCTGGGTATTATTCACAGAATCTTCAGACCCAACCCAGCTGCTTACACTCATTTAAGGAAATATTTTATGATAAACATCTTCCACATAGCAGAAGGGGGACCAAAAACAGAGACCAAAAATAGTTTGGAAAATATCACCTCAAAATGTAGTACGGAATAAAAGACCAAAAAGGAAACACAGGAGGCATAAATAATTACACAAATTCCTGCATTCGGACAGATAACCTTAGGGTTTTTTGAGATAGGAAACAAATTCATGAAGCTCCCTATCAGTAGTTGCAATAGTTCAGTATTGGGAAGCCTCACAATTGGCAGGCAGAGTTCTCTGCTTAGTGCACTGCTCACAGCCAGGTTCAGTAACTGCTGGGGATCCAGTTGCTGTGGGCAGACCATGACTTGCAAATCCTACCAGTTCAGGGGTGTTCTCCTATTAGATGAGAGAACACCTGCTGGAAGTCATCCCTGCAAGTTTGTCACCAGCTAAAGCTACAAGCCGCTAATCAGTCAGCACCTAACTCACTTTGCATGTAGATCCTAACTGCAGAAATTTAAAGTTTATAGTTTGGCAGGAACAGAGGCAAATGGCAAATGACAACCAAGCAGACAGATGCTTTAAGGGAGCCCAGGAATTATGGTTTGCTGATAGCTGACCCAGTGAAAACTGGGACCACTAAGAATTTGTGTTTGGCAAAAAATTTTCTCCTCCAAAACACTTACACATTTCTTTAATAAAACAAGAAGTTCTGAGACTCTAGGACAGGCTGATCAGTCACTATTCAGTCAGTGATACATAAATCAACAACAGTAACATATTTAACTTAGTAAGTGAAGCATTTCTTTTACAGTTTCTCATTTCAGCTACCCCCAGTAGTTTTAGAAATGAACAAAATCTTGGTATGGTAATCCTCTTAAGAAAAAGCTGCTGCTTTTTGATGCTGAGGTCCTCCTAGTGCCACATGAACTAGAATCCTCTAAAGAGAGGCCCTGATCAGGCTAAAATAATCAAACACAAGTACCTAATTCACAATAATCCTCACATTCAGGAAGTTTTACAGAGCCACCTGATCAACACCATAGTAACATATTTAACTAGCACCTTAGATATAAAGACAGACAGAGATCATGTCAACTGCTGAGCACATACCCCTAGCCACATGACTTCACCTTCAGTTCACAATAATTTGAGCTAAGAGGCACACTACTTGCAGACTGGGCTCTTCTGTTATTTCTTTCAGAGGGCAGGAGGATAAGAAACTTGTAAAACTTTTTTCCATAAGTCTTTCATGTAACCTACGATTATGGTTATTTTATGTTAAAGACTATTACCACAACATTAAGTGCAGCACAAGCTATGCCAGTTTCATAACCTTATACTATTATACAAACACAATTCCAAACTCACATACAAAACCAAAGCCACAATCCTTAATCAAATTACCAGCCAATAATAACCAAGTCCCATGATCTCAGTTAACCAAATGCTAACAAAGTAAAATTTAGATAAAAACAGTTATTCTATAATTTCTGATTTTGACTGCAGTATACTACACAATGAAAATAACTCATACTGCCAGAAGCTAAAACAGTGAACAGCTGAGATCTTTGGAGGGAGAGGGGGAGGAAATCACATCCTATCTTAAGTTCCTTTTTTTTTTTTAAAGTAAAATTAGAAATTTTAACATTTAACACATTTCTCTGCCACAAGGGGACAGGTGCATGAACTTCTACTCTATATGCTCCAATACCACTAGTTAGTCTTTAAAATGACAAAATATAAAGAGCAGCTATTAATTATGTTTGCCAAGTTTCTAATCAGCTGTCTTCAGATGACTTCCTCCCTATTTTTATAAAGTGCAATTGTTGTTGGTTTCCCACATTCAAATTTTTTTTTTCCAGCGAGTCACTACAAATCTTTATTTGTCTCAGAAGCTCACATCCTTTTTCAACCTTCTGATGTCTACCAGCCTGAAAAACTCTCTTCCAAACCAGCTACAAAATACATACATCCCAATTCATGAGCCATGTCAAAAACAGGGCACCTTTCCATCTGTTTCATAGCACTACAGAAAAAAAATATGGCAGCAACAACTGACCCTATTTTGCAGCCATCATCTATGCTACATGTATGTAACCAAGAAAAATAGAAGTTAGTCACACATTCAGATGGATTTTAAAACACTTAATTCTGTGTTCTTGAAGTTTCATTCAAAATGCATCTTATAAGGATGAAATACTACAGAGCTAAGGAGGCTAATAAAAACAGTCCAGCTTTCTTGATAAATGTTAAAGATCAGAAGGCAGCAAAAGCTACTGGCTTGCCAATTTTGCATTTGAGTTCATTCTGTTCTTGCAAAAAGGTACATCAATGAGACCCTTGAGTATACTTCTAATAATGCCAACCATTCTTTGAGTTACAATATCTAGGTCAATTCTCTTACATGTTGACAGTAAATACACTCTAAAAACAAGAACAGCACATCAATTTCAGCAATTTAAGACTCATAATAGCAATATGCACATGCAACATGTACAACAGCACTATGCATATACTTTATTTATAGCTTTTACTGAAAAACATTTGCACCAGGAGGTTCAGATCCTTCCCAGTAATAGATCAGACAAGACAGATCTTACAGAGAGGCTCAAGAGTCTTTTGTCTGTGAGCAATTGGGAACATCTTTTGCAATTTCACAAACCACACGAAGTTCCTGTGGATGTGTTTCTCTTTTAGCCATCCACCTTTCAGAAACTGTTATGACTTTAACTGTTATGGTTGTCATCTTGGGATTATCTATTTCTGAGCTATAACAGATCTCCCGTTTCAAAGAAATCACACTAGTTGGTACTCATCAACTCTAATTACCGAGTGATGGTTGAAAAAATTCCCACAAACCTAAAAGCTGTTAATGTTATCAAATACAAAAATTTTAACTATCACCTCTTAGACCCAGTCCTTCTGGCAATGTTTTAGCCTAATGAAACATGCCAAAAAAGCAAAAGTAAAACAAGAGTTGAGATGTTCATCAGCTTGATACAAGCTAATCTTATGCAAGATTTCATAGGCTAACTGTGCCAGATTGGTTTGCAGATAGTGAAGTAGGCTACTTCAGTCAGCTGTGCACACCAGTAGTCTAGCAGATGGACTGCAGTCTACACCCAGCGCAAAATGGTCTGGATACATCTCTCAGCAAATGTCTTCATTCTCCTGGATCACAGGAGCCGCAGCACAGTACAGAGATGCATGAACATTGCAATTTTCAGCAACTCAACAGTCATACCCAAATTTCCACCAGTTTGCTAGACACAAAAGGACAAGCAGTTGTTAACAGCAATAAACAGACAGGAAGGGAAAGCAGCTGTGTGGAATCAACTCACCACCAGAAGAGCTACTGCTGTTCAGGACTGGGAAGAAAGGGAACAGACTGGCCTACTCATGCCTAATTTTTCTGATCTAGTCCCACAAAAGCCCAACTGAAAGAGCACTTGCAGGCATTACAGCTTAAGAGAGAACACAAAGCATATGAGGCAGTACACATATGGACAAGAAGTTTTGTGAGGAAATCAAGAGGCAGAAGGAAAAACTGAGTATGTTTTCTTTAAGCACAGCCTTACTCATTGTTCCTCCTCCCAGTATTAAAGAACTACACGCATTACACAGACTGGTAACATTCACATGCATGATGTTACATGCACTCATATATGTATGAAACCAGGACTTTAAACATCTAAACTTTGTCGATTCTCCCCATTTGGTACACTGGAACAGTTACAAACTCTTCATTTCAGCTCCAGTTCTCTCTGTCCTACCTACAGAGAGACTACTGCAGTATTTATAGTAGAGCACAAATTTTTTACTGTATCAATAAGAAAGTAAGAATGCATAAATCTTCTGAAGTTTATAACTAACTAGGAAAAGGAAATAAAACTCAAGGTTTCACAGCACCAGCTTTTAGCTGGCAGAGATGAAGCCTACCAAATCAGGTTGAGGATTAGTTATTTGTAGAGAAAATTAAGTCCACACCACTACATTGTAATGCATTGTAAAGATCAGCACAAAGCTAAAAAATGCTTGCCCAATGCTTCCAGAAAAGTTAGGAACTGGTAAATGAAACTATTGCAAAGAAAATTATATAGCATTTCCACCAAAAGAAAGCTAGCCATGATTTCTTCGTCTGAGAGAAATGCCTTTTTGTATTTATAGCTATAAATAATAAAAAACCAAAAACAAAAACAAAACCCACCACCCTAGGTACTCCAAAAAATAATTTCCTTATTTCTATGAGCATTTAAATGCAAGTTACATTTTCCGGTGATTTATGATGTCATTGGCTGAGGTAAATGTTTATAAAATTTAGTTTTTCTTTATCAACTATTAAATCTTACATGCTTCCTCTTGGTACGCATTTATGTACCATGTGAAATCTAAACACAGAACCAAGAACCACCACTCCTTATGAAAGTAGAAGGAAACCTCATTTCTTTTCTTCAGCACATTTCTAAACGCATGAGTGATTTTCCACACATGAATGATTCCTACTTGGTTATCAAATTAGATTCAAGGGAAAAGTCAGTCTTCTCCATAACCAGCAGAGGGAAGGGGGGGAGGAAAAAAAAAAATCAACCTTATTTTCTTGCTACTTATTACGCCGTTTATGATGTATAGCAATTACGAGGTTAGTGAGACAGAACAACCTTTTGTAGACAATCTTCAGGTCTCTCCATTCCAGGAAGCTGCACATTTTCGGTTTGCGAGCTAATACTGTTTGAACAAGTTCCCTTGTGATTTTCTTCTTTTCTTTGTCAGATAATGGGACATACCACTTCTGGAGTCTCAGTTTCCCCTGGCGACTAAAAAGCAACATAAACTGCATCTGTTGAATTAGAAGGAGAAAAAAAAAAAGGATTAATCTCAGTCTCTTAGTTATAAAAAGATTTCTGTGAGGAAAACCAAACAGGAAGAAAGATAGCCATCCAAAACCCTAACTACATGATGTATTTCTACAGCGGTGGCAGATGTTACACAAGATTTGGAAGCAGCAATAATACAAAGGGTTCTGCTGAACAAGGTCAGTGAAAGCAAAAATAGTAGAAAAGGCAGACAAGTTTCAGAAACGGATGTTAGAACCACCAGGTAGCGAGTGAATACACCCCCATTTCACACAAACTGCGTCCGGCACTGCTATGGTTGCATTTACGTTTACTACAGAAAATGACAAAAAAACAGCACAGCAGTCTCTTCAAACACCCAAACTCATTTCCAATTCACCGGATTAGAGCCTTACAGCAGGAGCAATTTGCACTTAAGATCTTTCTGAAAAGCCTCAGAATACTTTAAAAGGCATTAAATCTCCCAACGGAGAGTCCTACGGCATAGAAAAGCCTAGTCGTTTCTCACATTGCACAAAAGGAGTAGAGATTAAGTGCTTTCCCTGCGGTCCTATGTTCCAGGTCTCGCTTCCTCTAAAGCAGTGATGTTGCAATTATATTTTAAGAGGAACTTGTCGGCAATGTTTTCCAGCAGCTGTAACATTAAAGGAAATGGATTTTTTTTTTCCTTTTTGCTCAAAGTTGTATCGGGCTGAGGAAGTTTCCCAAGCAATATGACAGACGTGAAATACGATGAGAAAGCCCAGCCTAGTCCCGGGTGACAACTCCGACCAGCGCCAGCACAGACAAGAGGCGGCGGCAGCGGCGGGCAGCAGCGGCTCCGAAGCCCGGTGGTGCCGGGGCGCTCCGTCCGTGGGGGCAGCGCTCCGGGCTGGCACCGCCGCCACAATACCCGCTGCCGGCTCCCCACCGTCC